CTCCTCTCCTCCTCCTCCCCCTCCTCCCTCCCTCATCCCATCATCGTCATCGTCATCATCATCATCATCATCATCATCATCATCATCATCATCATCATCATCATCATCATCAGCAGCAGCAGCAGCAGCATCATCATCGTCATCATCAAAATCATCATCATCATCAGCATCATCATCATCAGCATCATCATCAACAACATTGTCATCACCGTCACCATGATCGTCGTAAGTATCATCGTCACCATCATGATCATCACCACCACCATCTTCATCACCATCATCATCATACTCGTCATCACCGTCATCATCGTCATCATCATCATAATCATCAGCACAGACTAACCATCATCAGCATCATCAGCATCAGCAGCAGCATTATCAGCATCAGCATCATTAACATCCGCATCATCATCATCAGCATCATGCCCGTCATCATCACCATCGTCATCATCACCATCATCGTGATCGTCTTCGTCACACCCCTCACACGTTTCGTGGCCCCATAGGGAGCTCCACCAAAGGTCCCAGTGGCGCAGCCCGCATGGCGGCGCCGCCCCAGTTTGGCACACCCCTCACACGCTTCGTGGTCCCATAGGGAGCTCCACCAAAGGTCCCAGTGGCGCAGTCCGCATGGCGGCGCTGCCCTACTTTGGCGCACCCCTCACACGCTTCGTGGTCCCATAGGAGCTCCACCGAAGGTCCCAGGAGCGCAGTCCGCATGGCGGCGCCGCCCTATTATGGCACACCCCTCACACGCTTCGGGGCCCTATAGGGAGCTGCACCGAAGGTCCCAATGGCGCAGTCCGCATGGCGGCGCCGCCCCAGTTTGGCACACCCCTCACACGCTTCGTGGCCCAAAGGGAGCTCCACCTACGGTCCCAGTGACGCAGTCCGCATGGCGGCGCCGCCCCATTTTGGAACACCCCTCACACGCTTCGTGGCACCGTAGGGAGCTCCACCTGAGGTCCCAGTGGCGCAGTCCGCATGGCGTCACCCAATCTTGGCACACCACCATAGGGAGCTCCACAGAAGGTCCAAGTGGCGCAGCACGCCTGGCGGCGCCGCCCCATCTTCGCACACCCCTCACACGCTTCGCGGCCCCACAGGGAGCTCCACCGAAGGTCCCAGTGGCGCAGCCCGCATGGCGGCGCCGCCCCAATTTGGCACACCCCTCAAACGGTTCGTGGCCCCATAGGGAGCTCCACCAAAGGTCCCAGAGGCGCAGTCCGCATGGCGGCGCCGCCCCAGTTTGGCACACCCCTCACGCGCTTCGTGGCCCCATAGGGAGCTCCACCAAAGGTCCCAATGGCGCAGTCCACATGGCGGCGCCGCCCCATCTTGGCGCACCCCTCACACGTTTCGTGGCCCCAAAGGGAGCTCCACCGAAGGTCCCAGGAGCGCAGTCCGCATGGCGGCGCCGCCCTATTTTGGCACACCCCTCACACGCTTCGGGGCCCCATAGGGAGCTCTGCCCTGCTCCTCCTCTACACCCGTCGCGGGGCGTATCGCTGATCGAAATGTGCTGGCAATTAACTTGGTGACGCCCGCGTTGCTTCGACACGGAGCGTTCGCTTTGCACACGCGCATTCGGACGGTCGCGCGTAGGTCGGCGGCGTAAAAGGACAGGACCCTCGCGAAATGTTTGAAATGGTGTGTGGCGCTTGTTGGAGCGTTAGCTTTGCGCGCGCCTTTTCGGACGGTCGCACGTTGGCCGGCGGGGAGGAAAGCGCGGGAGTGGGTGGACATTCGTTGAGACTTCACCAGCGTGTGGAAGAACAGGACTATCGCGAACTGTTAGACATGTTTTTTGGGGGCTCGTTGGGGTGCTCGCCTTGCGCAGACGCTGTCGGACGGACTCACGTAGGTCGGTGGCGTAGAAGGACAGGACCGCTGCGTTTTTGGATTTGTGGTTTGCGCTCGTTGGAGCGCTGGCTTTGCGCTCTTGGAGAGTTTTTCGAGTGCGTAGAAGGACAAGTCCATTGTGAAATGTTTGAAATGGGTTTGGGGGGCTCGTTGGAATGCTCGCTTTTGCGCACGCTTTCGGACGGTCGCACGTAGGTCGGTCGCGCAGACGGATAGGACCCTCGCGACATGTTCCCCAACCATCCTGTAGTGTTGGGCCCTCGATTTGAAGAGACAACGCCCCGCGTTCCTCCTCCTCCTCCTCCTCCCGCTGCCCCTTCCCTCCTTCTCTCATCATCATCATCATCATCATCATCATCATCATCATCATCATCATCATCATCATCATCATCATCATCATCACCACCATCATCATCATCATCATCATGATCAGCATCATCAACTTCATCGTTATCATCGTCGTCATCAGCAACATCGTCGTCATCACCATCGTCATCAATATCACTATCATCGTCATCATCATCACCATCACCGTCATCAGCAGCAGCAGCATCGTCGTCATCATCATCATCATCATCATCATCAGCATCATCATCATCATCATCATCATCATCATCATCATCATCATCATCATCATCATCACCATACTCGTCATCGTCTTCGTCACACCCCTCCCCCATGTGGAGCTCCACCTAAGGTCCCAGAGGCGCAGTCCGCATGGCGGCGCCGCCCCATTTTGGCACACCCCTCACACGTGTCGTGGCCTCATAAATGAGCTCTAGATCAGGCCCCAGCAGCAGAGCCCGCATGGCGGGCCCGCCCCATTCCGGCGCACTCTTCACGCGCTTCGTGGCCCCATAATAAGCAGATCCACCGAAGGCGATACTAACAACAACGGTATTCACAACTGCATATGGTTGGGTTCTTCGCCAGGCTCATTGAAATCTTTGCTGGCCCTCGTCCGCAGTTTTTTGCGTAGCGCGCCTGCTTGCCACGCCGAAGGTGGCCAAGCCCTGCGCGCCGCCATGTTATGTCCATTTCCTTCCTTGGTTTTTGTCCTTTTGCTGGGCCCCTCCTTCATCTCATCTGCATCGCGATACTCGCAGCTCCCCCTCCTCCGCCTCCCCCTCTTCCTCCACCTCCTCTTCGTCTTCCTCCTCCTCTTGATCCTCATCCTCCGTCTTCGCATCCCTGCTTCGTTCCTGCGCATCGTTATTATCATCGCCATCATCGCCGCTCGCCCCTCGCACGTTTCGTGGCCCCATAGGGAGCTTCACCGAAGGCCCCAGTGACAGCGCCCGCATGGCGTCACCGCCCCATTTCGGCACATGCCTCACTCGTTTTGTGGCCCCATAAAGGGGGCTCTACATCAGCCCCCAGTAGCAGCACCCACATGGCGGCCCCGCCCCATTCCGGCACACTCTTCACGCGATTCGTGGCCCCATAAAGAGATCCACCGAAGGCGATACTAACAACGACGGTATTCACAACTGCATATGGTTGGGCCCTTCGCCAGGCTAATCTTCTGCCGGTGCGCGCCCGTGGGCGCCTTGCAGGCGCCTCGTGCGCCAGCTGCCGACTCCGAATGCACACGTAGCTTGCACCACATAGCTTGCAACACGTGCATTCCATGAAGCTTGCAGCCCATCTGCTGCACGATACAGATTGCATGACGCGAACTGCCCCACAAAGACTGGAGCGCAAAGCCTGCCGCACATAGACTGTGAATCACTGAATACAACACACTGCTTGCACCACAAATATTTTCCTTTCAAAATACGAATCGTCTCCACCACCGCCCTCCCGAGCCCAGTGTTATCGGTATCCACAGGGATTTGTTCAAGTTGCACATGATTCTGCCCCATCGTTCACTCTCAAGCTGAAATCAGACTATCGCAGCAAACCCGGTACTGGCCCCCATCATTCCTGTCAAATCAAATAACGCGCCCAATCATGTATCAGAAAGATGATGTGTAAAATCCCTTGCAAAAACTACCACACAGTCCACACACGCGCGCGCACATGTCGAAATCACACCAAAAACAAAAAGGTTGCAAGCATCTCAACATAGCAAAAACGAAACCATGTCGGCGATTCATAATAACATCTTGCTGCCCGCGCGCAGTTGCTGAAATCACAAGACAACCATACGGCTTTAGCAATCTCGCCCAACATCCGCGATGACCATCTCACCACGCGGTGCATCTGCGATGATCTAGCATGCGCCCCGTGCACGAATCCGTAACAGATAGTGGTACCGTGCGGGCCATACGCGCGCGCGTCGCCACGCGCGCGCGTTGACATCCTTCCCGACCCATTGGGTCTCCAAGCGTTTCAAATCGAGCTCTGCGAGGATGCATTAAACACGTAGAGATGTTCAAGAGAAGGTCTGTCGCACTTTTGAATTTCTGTGCGCGCGCACCTTCTCAACATTACCGTCACCAGCTCCTCCTGATCACCGTCGTTACCAAAACCGCCAATCGCCAACATTACCGCCATCAGCGGTCAATGACCGTCACCACCGACAGATGAGCATCATCATACTCAGTATCATCATCAGCATCATCTTCACCATAATTATGAACATCATCATCGCCGTCGTCGTCACCAACATCGGCACCGTCATTAGTCTTGCCATCGTCATCGTCTTTATCGCCACCAACATCGCTACTGTCATTTTGACCGCCATTGTCGACGTAATCATGATATCGCGCCCGCCCGAGTCACCGACCTACTAAAGTGCTTGCGCGTCAGTGCAGCCCTTGAACTATGCTTGGACGTTCCCACCTGTAAACGCCATCGCGGCAGCATCAGCTGTGTCAAACCAGCTGGCCGCTTTGCGCGCGAGCTTGCACGCGCCAGCGCGGCCGCAGCGATGCACAAGCCAATAACAAGCAATCACCGCTTGGGTGCTGCACCATCAAACTGCGGGTGGGAGGTGGGATGTTTGCGCGAGCGTTGACGAGGTGGACTCCACCCAATAGCTTGAACCACGCAGAATGCACATCGAGAGTGCAAGGAGACCCACTGCTTGAACGAACGCTGGCAAACAGCTGTATATACCTGTGTAAAGCTATCTGTACATATACATAGATACATGCCACCCGCAACACAGAAATGTTTTGTAGATTCAGTGGCTCGACATTAATAATTGCAGCTGCTGCCACGATGCCATACAGCCTGCGTGTTGTGCTGCGATGTCCAGTAGCTTGCAGAAGCAACGCTCATCCGAGAGGGATAAGCGCGCGCGTGCGTCAGGAGGTGATGCAAGGATGGAAATATGGCGGAGACTGAAGCAGTAGGGACGGGTTGCATGCAAGTGGACCTGATTTCACCGAGCTGCGGCTGTCTGTGAACCCGCCCAAGAGATCGTGACCTCGTCCATGGAAGGGCCTCGATAAGGCGCGACGCGTAAATATTGCAAATCATCGCGAAGAGAAGGAGCGTCTGAAATGTAAGGAGGCGGCCGATAGATTTGGCTGAACAGCCTCGCCAAACGCACAGGGAATCAGGAGGAGAGAGTTGAAGCCTGCGCGAGCTCGCGAATCTTGCCAATCGCGTACGCAGTTGGACACCAGACGGGCAAAAAGACCTCCTACGCCGTCGGTCCCCAGCCGACTGGACTGCAAAACTATCGATCGTCCCTGCGATTATTCGGTCGGAACTCACTTCTCACCAAGCCGCCTCGCGCGCAATCAAGTGTGCCGTGCAGCTCTCGGCGAAGCACAACTGCAAAATACGCCCCCGCATCTTCCGATCCACCCCTGGATCATCTCCGAGACGCGCTAAAGGCTGGCGACTGGGGTGTTCAATCCCGGTCGCGTCTGCCCCCAGGGCGGGTGGTACAGATGGCTGCGCTAACGGGAGGGAAACTCAGCTAAGATGAAGGGAGGAGGGGGGCTTCCCTCCTTCCTCATCCTCTCTTCCCTCCTCTTCTCCTGTCGTCCCTCCTCATCTTTCCTCCTCTGGCCTCCTGCCTCCGCCTCCTTGTCTGCCTCTTACCTGCCTCCTGCATCGCCATCCTTGGGAGGGCTGCGAAGTTTGAAACTGTCGTCATTTCTAAGGGCTGCCGGGGAGGCAGCAGAGTCGGGGCCGACGCGGATTCAGATTAGACCTCACCATCCCTGGGAGGCTGCGGAGTGTGAAACTGTCGCCACTTTTGAGGGCTGCAGGAGAGGCCAGCATTGTCTGGGCCTACTCGGAGTCAGACTAGACCTCGCCATCCCTTGGGGGGGCAGCGAAGTGTGAAACTGTAGCTACGTCGGAGGGTTGATGGGGGGCAATTCGAGGCCTACGCGGGTTCATCCTAGACCTCGCCATCCCTGGAGGGCTGCAAAGAGTGAAATTGTCGCCACTTTCGAGGGCTGCTGGGGGGGCCAGCATTGTCGGGTCCTATGGCGATTCAGGGTCGACCTCGCCATCCCTCAGAGGTCTGCAAACTGCGACACCGTCGCCACTTGAGAGGGCTGGTGGGGGGAACAGCAGAGTCAGGGCCTACGCGGATTCAGATTAGACCTCGCCATCCCTGGGAAGCTGCAAAATGTGAAACTGTCGCCACTTCCGAGGGCTGCCGGGGGGGGGGGGCGGAGTGACGTCATGCGCGGATTCACATTCGACCTCGCCATCCCTTGGGGGCTGCGAGTTGCGAAACTGTCGGCACTTTCGAGGGTTGCTGGGGAGGCCAGCGGAGGAGGACGTCATACGTGGACCCAGATTCGACCTCGCCATTCTTGGGGGCTGCGAGCTGCGAAACTGTCGCCACTTCCGAAGGCTGCTGGGGTGCGAGGGGGGGCCAGCGGAGTGACGTCATAAGCGGATTCAAATAAAACCTCGCCATCCATAGGGGGCTGCAATCTGTGAAACTGTCGCCACTTTCGGGGGCTGCTGGGGGGGGCAGCGAAGTGACGTCATGCATCGCCGGGCTGCAGAACTGTCGTCGCTTCCGAGGGCTGCTGAAGGGGGGCCAGCTTAGCGCGGTGCTGCGCAGATCAGAGTGAAACCGTACCATCGCTGGGGGCTGCGAACTGCGAAGCAGTCGCCACTTTCGTGGGTTCCTTCGGGGGCCAACTTAATACGGCGTTGCGCAGATCAGAGCGGGACCTCGCCAACGTTTGGGGGGCTCACTCTCCATCCTTCTGTGGCTGTCCTGTGAGTCGTGCATCGCGTGAGCATGGTATGTAGCGTGTACAAGAAGAAACGGTTATTGCGTTATTTACTCATTTGGGCCACTTCTGCGGTACATGTGATGCATGTGGATTTGGGTACGTCGCAAGGTAATAGTATAACAAGGGACCCCCTCTACCACCAAACAACCGCACACAGCCACCCCATGCGCATCAAGTGCACAACGCACTTGGCCCAACTTAATTAAGATGGCGGCGATGCAGGGACAATGCCGCCGCCATGTCGCACTGGCGCCCTGAATGGTGAGTTGCTCGCAACTAATGCACAAAACGAGCTAGGCCCAGCGCGCCCGCCCTCCAGGGATGGCGAGGTCTAGTCTGAATCCTCGGCGGGGCGTCATCCCTCTGGGTCTCCAAACGGCCCTCGAACACGGCAATGGCTTAGACTTCGCAGCCCCACAAGCATGGAGAGATCTAGTTCGTATCCAAATAGGACGCCACGATGCTGGACATTCCAGCAGCCGTCACAAGCAGTGGCAGGCTCGCAATTCATAGCCTCCGAAGGACGCCGAAGTCAAATCTGAATCCTTGGAGGCCCAGGGACGGCGAGGTCAAATGTGAATCCATGGCGGGACCCCACGATCCTAGATCTCTCAGGAGCCCTCGCAAATGTCGACAGTCTCGTAGCCCGCAGCCACCAGGGATGGCGAGGTCTGATCCGAATCCCTGGCGGGACCCCACCATGCCGCCCCCCCCCCCCCAGCAACCCTCGAAAGTGGTGACCGCTTCAAACTTCGCAGCCCCCCCCCTGCATGGCGAGGTCGAACCTGGATCCCCGTAGAATGCCGAAATCCTGGAACCCACAACGCCCCTTCGAAAGTGGCTGCGGCTCTGCAATTCCCAGCCCTTCAGGACTGGCGAAGTAAGAGGTAAATAACTGGCGGGAAGAAAAAAAACGAAAGCGCAGAAGGAAAGTGGAGGAGGAGGAGGAGGAGGAGGTGGAGCGTGCCTCAAGAGTCCATGGTCCCTCTAGCTACTGCTACTGCTGTTACTTACACTGCCATCACAATTACTGCTGCTGCTAACATGCACAAAATAATGGGGCGGCCTGGACGGCGATGGCGACGGCGCTCGGCGGAATCGGCGAGCCGCCCGCACCGCTTCCCAGAGGGCACGCCAGGAGAGAAGGGTGCGCTGCCGTCGACCTGTCGGCAACCGCACAGCCAGTCGGACCGCGTTCACCAGTCTGCTGGCCTCTGCCAGCGTACTGGGTCGCTGGAGAGAGGACGCGAGACGAGAGGAGAGCCGGAAGAAGTGGTAGAGGGTGACGACGAAGGCAAGCTCCCCGCCTCTGAGCCCCGGCAGGAAGATGGGGTGGAAGGGCAGCGGGGAACGAAGGCACATCAAGACCCAGCACAGGAGGCGAGGGCAGACGAGGTAGCGCGCCAGCGTGTCAGGGCACGCCGCGCACCCGAGCACACATCCAGCAACTCTCTGCATCCGCCCACCCGTCAACCACCCACCCATCCCCGTTCGGAAGGCAATGAATGCTCATGCCCCCGGGGCCGCGCGCAACACTTCTTGAACTGCCGTCCAATCGGCGTCTGAAAACCGCATCTGGACGCGCGCGCGCCTCCGAACTCTTCTGACAAAAAGCGGCCTGAGAGGGGGGGGCGAGAGGAGGGCCCGTTGGATGACCTCCAAGAACCGAGACTGCAATTTCGGCCTTCTCCTCGTCACCTCCGGGGTCGGGGGCGGGGGCGCATGGAGCGGGGCAAGAGCCTCAGCCCCGCCAGCGCGAAGCCTCTGGGAGGGCGGGGAACCGAGGGCCGCATCTTCGAGCACACTAGCCACCGACGGGGACTTCCAAAATGGCGGGGCGAGGGCGCCAACCCTCCTGCGACCCCTCGCCACCGCCCGAGACCCCCCCCCTCTTTCAGAGCCGACCGAATTCTAGCGATATTACATTGCCAGGTCGGGCACGTGGTTAAGGCTTTGGCCCTAACCTCAGGAGATAAATCAGCCCAGAGCGGCACAGCGACACACTTCCGACACTTGAGAACAAGAGCCCAGAATTTCTCCGCAAGCCGAAAGATCCGCCCGAGATGCCTCCAACCATCCCGTTGCCAGACAATCACTCCCATGTCGTCGGCGCAGGCTCGAACCAAGCCCCCGTGGGCGCGCGTGATCGAGATCTCCCTGTCCCGAATAAACTCGTTGACAGCGAAGAGGAAGAGAGTCCCCGAGAGCGGGCGCCCCTGGGGGGCTCCCGAAAGCAACCAAACTAGGAACACCATAAAGTCCACCTGTCCTGCAAAGCAGGGGTTCACGTGTAAAAGACTTCTACTGCCTTTTGAAACCCGCGCGGGTCGGAGCAGCTAGCACGTTTTGGAGCGCCCATTCTTGCCGCACCGAGGGGAAGGCCTGGGAGAAATCAAAGGCGAGGGGGGGGGGGGCACCCGCGGGATCCCCAAAATGCCGAATGCTCGTGATCCGCGCGACCGGGTCTACATCAACAGCGCTGTCGATAAAGTTTCTTTTGGGCGCGGACCCGCGCTGGGATGGGGCTGCTAGAACTTGCACCGCGCTCGTGAGACTGCGATTCAGCACCGCTGCAATCGTCTTGTTCGAACTGTTTTTCAAGCCGAGAGGCCTGACATCCGCCCCAGCTCGCACCAGTCCGTCTCGTGGCGGGTCGTCCCCTGGCAGAGGCTTCGGGATGAACACTTGAAGCGCAGCGCAAAATTCGGGCGGCATGAGACGACCTGCCACTACCCATAACAAAACTTGGCGTCGGATTGTCGGGCCCTTCCCGTGTCGCCAGGCCGAGAAAGGAAGCCCATCGGGGCCAGGCGCTGACGAGGAGGCACTGGCCAAATACCCCGAGACCGCATGGGGGGTCGGAGAGGGGAGGTCCCGAAATTCAAATTGCAAGACTTCTGGGTGCATCGCGACGCCGATCTCGGCAGCGGCGTCGCCTAGCCAGAAACGGGGGCCCAGTGCTGATTCAAAGAGCGCGCCATGCCCTCGGGAGAAGACGCGACGCTCGCCGCCCCGCCAGTCCCCCACCAATGACCGCCGCGAGATATTTTCGTCTCCCGATGGGGGCACCACAATCGAGCTCGGCGCAACTCCGCGGCGCGCCTCGCTCGGATGCGCTGCTGCACACCAGGCCTCGGCTCTCCGCGGGCTTCTGCCCCGAGGTGCTCTCGGAAGGCCCTTCGCTCTTGCTGTTGGAGCGAGCAGCGCAGATCCTGGAAGGCACCTGGGTGCAGCAGCCGAACCCCATCAAGAGCATGGACCGAATGATGATCTTGCGTCCAACTGTGACGGGCGAAGATGGCCCTGGCAAGCCGCGCGCCCTGACGGTGAACGCAACGAGCCAGCGTCCTGGAGACCATCGCTCGGGACATCGTCGCACGGTTGCCCCGGGCAATCGCAAGATCTCGCGCGGCACGGGCCGCCGCTTGCCTGCGAAATGGCAGGCTCAAGCGCGGCAGGCGCCTCGAGCCTTTCGAAGTCAATGATATTCTCATATTCAGCTACAAGCTCATGGAAAAGAGGGCCCAGCGCAACCACCCGGGGAAGGGGGCGAGGACGCGGCGACGCGCGAGCCTGTGGCTGGCCAGGGCCCGTTTCCGACATGGTCGTTTCGGCCCCGGCATACGTTGTGACAGTAACAGGGCAATGGCCACTAACATCGCGCATCAAGAGCTCGCGAGGTTCATCAAATCCAACAGCAATCTGATACCCTTCACAAAGAAGCCAGGGGGGTGGCCGTAAATAATCGATCCACACATGCTTCCGCACGGGTTCCCTGGCGCCAACACGTCGGCGCATCCGTCGCCAGCTCCGTGAGTTTGCGAAAGACCTGTTTCCAGACACGATCACCCGCTCGCCCCTGACGACCCGACCCCCCTCCCTCATTGGCGATGTTAAAGGCGCCATGCAGAAGCAAGCCTGCCCCCATCGGGTCCACACGGACTGCCGCAATCTGGACTTGAATACGCCCCTGGATGTCCCGAAGAACTTCGGAATGGGATCCCAAAATTGTGGATGTTCCAGTGGAATAAGCAAAAAGTTGGGGAGATAATCTTGAGCAATCAAACTTGCCCACAATACACCTCCGAAGGAACGATCTCTAGATTTTGCGCGGCCCAGGGACCCCGCGGAACCAGGGCGGCCACTCCCCCCACGTGGGACCCTTCTAAGTACGAGCTAAAAACTTGATGGGACACCCCAGGGCGCTGACACGCTTCGGCGACCGCATCGCGAGAGCCATGGGTCTCCCGGAGACTCACGACCGCCTGCGGCCCCGCCAGCGAGGTCAGTGCCCGAAGACTACGGCCCAGCGCAGTCGACGCGTAGCGACACAAAACACGAGTATTCCACGAGACATACTTCACCGTCTTGGACTGCAGCCAGTTGCTACCCACACCGCTCGATCTGCTCGGGCGCGAAGCAGCGCTTGCCAGCCTCCACGACGGCAGCGCAGTCCAGCCCCACGTCGACGATCCGATTGCGATTCCACTCGATGACGGGCTGGTCGCGCGGCGAGACCAGCACGCGAGCCACGGGTTCCCATTGATGGGTGAGCACGCCCGCGTCGCGATCCACGACCATTTTCTTGCCGAGCTCGCGCTCCAGGGTCGTCGGCAGCACTTTGCGTGCCTTCCCGCGGGCCACGTCGCACCGATTGTTGTCTCCGCCGATGAATAGCTCGATGCGGCGCCCGCCAGGGCCCACGGCGTGGGACTTCCTCCACGCGCCAGGGCTGGGGCGCAGAGCAGCCTGGCAACGCCGCGCCCTCGCCTGGATAGTCGCCCCCAGCGGCCCAGCCGACCGCAAGACATACTGGCGACCGAGCGGGTGTCCTTCCAGCACGCACTCCTTGCCGAGCCTGTGGGAGCACGCAGAGAGCCATTCCTGAATCGCAGCAGCCACCAAACTGGGAGACACATCCTCCCGAGCAGAGATGCAGAAGATGCCCCCGTCAATCTCACGGCCCCGTTCCGCTGTCCTCTGGAGCGCCAAGCGAGGACGCGCGTGCTTGGCCAGATCCAACTCGCCTTCCAGGCGCTCCAGGCGCGCCAGCAGCGCCCGCTGCGTGGCCTCCACCGAGTCGGCTCGCTGCGACGCGTCGGCCTGTCGGGCGCTGAGCTGGAAGAACAGAGAGGAAACCTTCTTATCAAATCGTTAGAACATCGGAGACGTCGCCGAAGCCAGGGCCCCAGGCAGGGTATTCTTGAGCGACTCCACGCACGGCGCAGACATCTCGGCCATGCAGCTCTTCCGGATGTCGGCGAACATCTCGCGGTGCAGGGCCTCTATCTGCTCGGCCGTCGCTGCGCGAGCCCATGTGCCCCCATGGTCGCCAGGCCCAGCAGCTCCGCCAGCAGGAGGCAGGCCGTGCAGAGGGGTGCCAGGTACAGGAGCCCCAGAAACCGCAGACCCGCCCAGTTCCACATGCGGCGGGGTGCCGACCTCGATCGCCACGGGCGTGGGAGGCAGAGCTCCAGCAACAGCAGCACCTTTGCGAAGCTCTTGAGACGGGAACGTCGGCACGAGGTCATGGCCCCAAATGAAGTCCGCATCCGCCGACGAGAGCCCCTTGCCCCCAAGGATGACCATGGTGTCCGAGGCGGAAGCGAGGCGGGCGCCAGCCAGGGGCGAGAGCGAGCCTCGGTCACCCCGAGAGCGGCGCCCCTCCTCCTCACCTGGATTGCCCACATCAGTATCGGTGCCACGGGCGCGGTCGCGGTCACGCACACGTTCATCGCGATGAGCCCGAGCACGACGCCCAGAGCCACCATCCGAGCTCCCCGATGCAATTCGATCTTCGTCAGATGACCCAGCGCGTCGATGGCGCCGAGGTGCGTCCACTTTCGAACTGGCACGTGCCAGATTCCTGTCCTTCTTGGCTTTCTTGTCCTTCCGAGAGTCTCCATCCAAGCCCATGGCTCCGATGGAGAAAGGATGATGCCGTCTTGTGGCGCCGTCCTGTTGCGACGGAACACGTACAGTATAGGAAGAGATTATGCCACAAGCCCTGCCTGGAGGACCTGGTCTGGGCTTGTCCCCCAGGCAAAGCAAAGAAACTGACCTGGCCAGCTGCCTCGATATACGGCAACTTGAACCAAAATGGCTACGGGAGGTGGATGAGTAGGAGGAGGAGGAAAAGTAGATAATGGAAAGCCAGGAGCAC